TCCTAAATTCTTGTTGACTGACACTGACAAACCTCATTAACTTACACATTTTTACTTAACCTTAAAAAACAAGAGGAGAACCAGGTTACGGTACTTTGAGATCATTTGGTGGACACACCAAGTGTGCTCTCCTCTCCTTGGGGATTTAAACTGCTCTTGAGCAAACGAACTTTATAAATGAGACCTGGAAGGCACCCAGGGAGTGGTTACGGTCTGCATTTATTGCTGGACTTTGGCACAGCGCACGTAACTGATGGGTGGTGGTGGACGAGTTAGCTGGGTGGAGATGGGCATGCCTCAGCAGAATACTTCAGTATTATTAGCATGACATTGGATATTAATGGCATTATACTAATCAAGGATTGCTTGTTCTTGACTCAGAGAAATCACAAATTTAAAAAATGTCCACACTAGTTAATTCAAGAAGTTAGTTAAAAACCAAAATATAAAACCAGCTCAATTTAAGAAGTTTCACTGTTGATTAGATAGAGACAATCGATTGACAATTGTGAAAAAAAGGTTGTTTTGTTTGCGGGGGTTGGGCCAGAAAGTATGGAGGAAAAGATCATATATCTGCTCCAATATGACTTTTTCTCCAGGCCATGAATTTAATCATATTTTTGAACACTTACTACCATGTAAATGTGGAAAATTAAACCAATCCTAAAATTGCTAGATGTTCATTGTTGAGTATGTAGTTATGAAAGTTGATAAAATAGGACCCTACATTTTTGATCTCTGGTTTTCATTTCCTAAGTCACAGGGTGTGAAGATCTAAGCCTCTACTAAGATCAAAACCAAAAGAAGTTACTTTTAATTTTCTTAAACCTGAGGAGGCATCATTCAGTGCAACTGTTACCAGGGAAGAGCCCCCATCTGTAGAGAAGGCAAATAATATGCACACTTATCTACAGAGAAGACAAGTAAAAATCTCTAAATCTCACTTAAGCAATTTAAACTCCTTCACCCATTTGGAAATCTTACAAAATGTAGAATATACCCTCTTTACAATTCAGACTTACAAATTGAAAATTAGATGGTGATTTACTGGATTTAATGATGATTCTCTTTGTGTTTTAAATAAGAGTGACCTCTTGACAGAAAAATTTACTTATCATTTGTGGACAGCATCCCTTGGCTGTTACTTAGCCACCCTAAATTCTGGATAGTATAGTAGAGATCATGGAGGGAATAAACTGAGCTGAGACTAGTGATTTTTACAAAGTTATCTGGTGATCATCTTAGTGTATTTTCTAGAATGACCTTAAAATGGAACAGGCACAAATTATTCATCTGCATAGCAATTATAGGGTTTGTCTGCTTATTTCTTAATAAAATTGTTTAAACTTTTTATTTGTTTGTTTCAGGGCTCATGCCTGTTGCACAACAGCCAGTTTATTGTGCTTCAAAGCATGGTATAATTGGATTCACGCGCTCAGCAGCGGTGAGGATGTAACAGCCACAATGTCTCTTTTTCTCTCTCTATATATAGGAAACATGTGCTCTATAAAGTAAAGGGAAATAAATTCAGAATTTAGTACATCTGGATTAAAGATAGAGGAATAAATTATACTTCAGTCTGTATTATAAAACATCATCTTCAATCACGTCAAGGACCAAATAGAATAGATCATTGTAAAATGAAGTAGATTCTAAACACAGATGTGTTATTGAGAAACAATCCTAAGGATAAATAATGGGGAGATAGTCTGTCTTTTTAAAATCAGCTCCAAATTTTAAAATGGTTAACCTCAGGCCTCCTTGAGTAAAGTATGTGGTGTGCCCCAGACATTGCATCACAGGAGGTAGGACAAAAAAGGGTAAGAGCCTGGGGCATGGCAGCAGGGGTGGGGCTGGTGTAGACTTGATGGGGTAGGCAAGGACGGTGTGTCATCGTCGGGTGGAAGGTGTGCAGAGCTTAGAAAAATATTTTAGACCTGGTCGACCACATGCATTGATAGCATGAACTAAGAATGCTTGCCTTTTCATAGTAATTGAAAAAAACAAAAAGGCAGCTTGAACGGAGCCCAAGGTCAAAGGGGAAAGTAGGAGGGGTTAACTGGAGATAGAAACAGAAGCCAGGCCAAAATCGGCTTCTGCGCTGTGGTAATGAGCTTGGACTTGGTTCTAAGTGCGGCCGTTGATGGGTCTTTATGCACGGGAGTGACAGGGTCCCACCCGTTCTATGAAGACCATTCTGGCTGCTCATTCGAGAACTGTTAGGATAAGTGTGCCAGAGGAGAGAACAGTTGGGCAAGGTGATTTCTGCCGTGGCCAGACCAGGTGAGACTGAGAGGGCAGGCAGATGAAGAAGAAATGATCAATAACAGAAGAAATACTAGGGATAGAGAACACGGATGTGTGAATGTTGCTGTTCAATCAGAAACAAAGATAAGCAGCTTTCACACTCTTTATTTAAATTGATTAGAAATTTGTATCTGCAAAGACCTCTCTCCAACTCAGCTTTTAATGACAGCCTAAAGTTATTACAAAGCAGAGTAAACTTTAAAGACCAGCAATGATGTATTTAAAGTTAGAAGACTGGAAACTTATACAGCCAGTTCTTATTATTATGGTAGGTGTGTTCTATAAAATTACTTGCAAACACTAAATTAGAAAATACTGGATTTCCGCTCCTAAAGGAAATGCAGGGTTAAGTTCCTGTGAGCCTCTGGTCACTTTGATCAATCAGTGCATAACCTAGAGGAGCATAATGTATATTTCTATCTAATGAGAAAATGACAAAACAAAAATGAGAAAAACGTGGACCAACTATATGGCGAAAGGACATTTGTTTACAGTATAAGCGCTGAAACGAGAAGCATCATTTCACAACATCCACACAAGACAACTCAAATTTCTCACCGTCTGTGCTTGTCCACAGTGCCTCTGAAAACTCCACGCTGTTGATTTTTAGGGTTTTGAATATATTTGAGCAACTAAGCAAATGGATTTCACAAGTAATTGACTACAGTTTGTTTTACAAAGAAAACCAATACATCAAAAATGAAGCCAAAGAATGTGTTAGTCTGAAAATATTTAAACTGTCTTCCAGATGGTGATTATTAAGAATATCTCAAGAATCAATTAAAGTCCTAAAACTTTCCACTAACAATATTTTTAAAATACATATTCTATTATACAGCCCTAATCTTTGAAAGAAAACCTGGGATATTAATTCTAAGCCTCGGTGTCTTACCTCCGGTTCCCTGCAGAGTTCAGGAGATAAGTGCAGCTTAGATAATCAAGCATTTTCAGGAGTTGCCCAGTAAGAGTGATTTTTTAAAAAAGTTAATTGGCTGAGGCTTTCAGGAATTAATTCAGTGCTTTAGATATATATTCTTGTACTTGTTACCAGTCAAGCTTAACGTTTCATTGTTATAGAGCTAGGAGAATATCTACCTAGTGTTTTTCACATTGGAGTCTTTCAAATAGCTTTAATTATCAACTTGTCCTATGTGAATGCATTTATAAAACTACTGAAACCTGCAACCTTTTATTTCTAATTGGCAGATGGCTGCTAATCTAATGAACAGTGGTGTGAGGCTGAATGCCATTTGCCCTGGCTTTGTTAACACGCCCATCCTTAAATCCATTGAAAAAGAAGAAAACATGGGACAATATATAGAATATACAGGTCCTATCAAGGATATGATGAAATTCTACGGAATTTTGGAGTAAGTAAAATTATACCTACCTTTCTTTGTATGATGGAACAAACTTTTATCTAGTACTATTTAGACAAAAGCAGCAGAATGGGAAAAAAATGTGTACATTTGGGAAACTAATGCAAGCTTCCAAGTTTTGGTTTGGCAAGCTCTCTGAAAGGAAAATATTCTCTGCGTGTCTGAGTAGAATGTTTATATACATTATGAGTTCTTCTTTAAAATATAAACAATGCATCATTACCTTCAGCCATATCATATGCATTTTTTTAAAGGTAATGTTTAGTTACCTTTGGAAGAAGCAGTGATACCTTATCTACTAAATTCCCAGGCGATATTCACATATTCCCTTTGTGAAATGTCACACAGCCTCCTAACTTGAAACGTTTTCACAAGGAACAGTTGATGTACACACACGTTTGGTAAACAATGTCTGAGTTAGAGCAGTTGGAGTCTCACAGGGCAGATTCAGAGATCCTGCACTGAAGGAATCAGACCATCTGGGATAAGTCCCGGGGCCACCACTCAGCACGAACTGAGCTGTCGACCTTTACATACTTCAATTTTCTCACATGTAAAATAAGGATAATGCTAAAACTTCGGGTATTTTTACTTAATAATAATAACGTATTATTAACGAATACATTAATAATACATGTTAGGTACTTACAACAGCCAACAGATAAATAATAGATGTTCAATAAATATTAGCTATAATTCTTCACATTTCTACTTTAATGAACGTTTCATTCAGAGAGATCTAAGACCTGAAAAGATAAAGATGAGAAAATAATCACTTCCTCAAGGTAAAAAAATAAAATACAGATTTACAAACTCTTCCCGTCACAGTGATAGAAAGCTAAGCCTGGCGGTACACCACTCAATTTATTATGTAATTCAGTGGATGCCTAATTGCATAAAAAATGGAGGTAGCAATAGCTTCATGTTGTACATTTCCCCATTACGTATGAAAAGTAGTAGATTCTTCAAAAGAACTCAGGATGAAGTGATCATTATGCCTCCACTCTAGTTTTTAAAACACCTGTTTCCCTTTGTTTCCAGCCCATCAGTGATTGCCAATGGATTAATAGCACTTATTGAGGATGATGCTTTAAATGGAGCTATTATGAAGATCACAACGTCTAAGGGAATTCACTTTCAAGACTATGACACAACCCCAATCCAGACACAAACCCAGTGAACATCTGACGGTACCGGCCTTAACTGAGAACAAGCACAGACGACTTATACTGAGATAGTATCTTCACTTGAACATGGCTTCTTAAATGAAGTGCTATCATTTGAAACTTTCCTTCATGCATTTGGTATTTCCTTTTGAGTGATTAGTTAAAAAATATGTGGATTAAAAAAATTAGGACCCATCAAAAATATGAAGGACTGAACCAAAGCGAAATTTTGATCTTTAGAGTCTAAGTAACGATCAAAACAAAGACTCCTCAAGGAATATGCTGCTTTTCAGAAAATGTATTAAATTTGTGGGTCCTAAATATTCATGTTTTTCAGAACATCATGTTAAAGGAGATACTTGAACTATTTAAACCAAGCCAGATGTAAAGAACTCATTTTGTTTCTATGTCCTTACTCTGCACGAGGGAAGCTACTTACAGTGGCAAATGTTTAGTGACAAGAACTTTTGCTTATATACCATCTTTCGGCTGAACATTTCAGCTCTTTAAAGATGTGGCATATTTGGGGGCCAGTAGTTAAGGAATAAATTGCAGTGTGAATATATCCCAAATGTAAAGTCTGATTATGGAAAAATGACAGAAAGTAACTCACTGAGATGTCAGTCCCCATGCTGGCTGCCTCCCCTCCAGGAAAAACATTTTTCTCTTTGCTTACTGTAAGAAATTTAATTTTCCCCAAAGATCTCAGGAATGAAACTTTTAATAGTATAGCAAAAAAGATAGTTAGCAATCCTAAGTGTTATATGTCAGATATACTCATCAAGAAAAAACAGAATGCAAATGTCACTTTTTTTCAGATTACTTCTTTGTTTACTTGTACCAATTTCAAAAATGCCTACCTTTTGATAAACCCTTTTTCTGATCTCCAGAAGTTACTTAGTGTTCTCTGTATAGCTATGGAGGGGGAGAAACCAGGTTTAGCAGCCTCAGTTGTAAATGTTTTTGTATGCACAAAGTCACAATAACCAGAGGTAAAAGCAGCTGTGATCTTTTCCCTGTCAGGTATTTTATGATTCGACCATTATATGCACCTGCTTTGGCTAACATTATTTGCAAACAATAATTAATGCTACTAATAGTGAAAGCACAAGATTTCCAAAGCAACTGTCTCCTCAGAAATATTGTATAAGTGACTCACTCTGCCTGCTAAGTCCAGGGTTCCCAGTTTAATGCCAACTCCTACGGTGTGAGATTGAAAAGGATTTTCTAGAGACAGTGGAGTGTTGCCACATCCTGCTCTGTTTTAATTCTGCCAGAAATCGATTGCCTTTGCCTTTAAGGACTTATTTGAATATGAATAACTGTTGTCTAGAGTGTCATGGAATGTATTTGAAAAACAATGAGAAATAAACACCAGTGAACATCTGATGGAAATAAGTTGTAATAAAGCGCAAATGTGTCCATACAAGTGGTAGTAACCAATCCATGAATAAGAGATAGGTGGAGTATCGCATATCTTACATGATTTTCCTACTGTAATGTTCACAGCAACAGCTAAAACTTTTTATTTATGGACAATTTTTTGTGCTGGGAGACTTCAGTCTTGTGCTTTGAATTGTTTTTTTCATATCAATAAACTATGCAGACATTTAAAATCAAATACTGAGTGCAACTGAAAAAAAAATTCTATTAGATATTTTAAAACCTTATTTTACATTAAAATTTATAATGTAAATTTTTAATGGCTTTAAATAAATCTATAGTATTATGATATCTCTATAAAGTGGTTGAGAAAAAATAAATATTAAATGAGGCAGGGGAACCTTAGTTTCCTTAACTGTATTTTTCAGGGACAATAAAGTGTGTTTTTTTCAAATATACTTTTCTTAATACATGAAATAGGGATCCCAGAAGCAAAACTAAAAATATGTGGATGTTAAAAAGAGATTAAGACTTAACAACATTGACATGTCCAGAAAACTTAATTTTCCCATATAAAAATGATGTTAGATACTTGTAGTGCCATTTAAAATACAAGTGATTATGTGATTTCTGTCTATTTTTGCTCTGTGTTTGTAAATTTAGGATCCTGAAAAGGTCTGTAAATGTAAATTTTTAATAAAATTCACATTATTTCACATACGAACTATCATTTGAAGGACAGCTTCTTTCTTACATTAGAATTTCAAAAGGCAGGGCTACTAGTGGCTGGAGAAAGGCGACTGGAGCCAGTGTCCCGGAAGCGGACGCCAGTCTTGCGGCTCTTTCCTCTAGGAGAGGCAGCTTCCCTCCCAGCTAGTTCTGTCCACCCATAGCTTCCAGGATCTACAGCCTGATTCTCACCAGCTTCCCGTCTGGCAGACGAACTTGTTTTTATCAACAGAGCCCAGGGGCATTGCTTAAATTATGTGCCATTGACTGAGACAGTCCCTGTGGACAGAGCAATGACCATTCTGCTTGGCCAGAGCCAGGGGACGTGCCTCCCCCGGAGGTGGTAGAAGGAGTGATGGGGACAGGAGAGGTGGGCAGGAGACTGACCTGAACCCTCTGGACTAAGCCAAGGAGAGGACTGGTTTCCCAGAGGAAAATGGGTGAATACATGCCGAGCCAACACAGACAGTAGATAGACAAAGCAGGAGTCAACAAGGACTGGCTAGGCCTTAATCCCTTGGATAAATTTGCAAAGACTGTACTGGTTCCCAGAACATATTTCGATCCATGTTTTTCGAACAGCATACCCACACTGGATAAGATACGATAATAGAAGAGAAGAAAATGAGTAAGAAATACAGCAGTCATCTCATGCATATGTGATTGCACTCTTTCTCAGTATAAAAGTACTTCTTGTTGCAAATCACAGTAACATTCAAAAAGGCTCAAAAGCTACTTGCTTCAATACCACTTGCAGTCGGGCCGCTAGGCTTCCTTCGTGTCTGAATTCATGGCTATCACACCATTTTAATCTTATGGTTCCATTCAAATTTATTAGCACCACCTCTAATTCCTCTTACTAAAATTTCATCAGCAGCATATAGTTATGCTAAATTTTAATAGAAACTTCTAAGTTTGCTTTGAATCTTTAAGTTATCCTTTTTCTCCCAGTTTCAAGCAACGCTTCCAGACATGCACTCATTCAACAAATAACTACTGAACAATTATCGGTAAATTTTATTTATCTGTTTCAATAAATTGTGTTCTAGTCAACATTAGTGCAGGCATACATGGATGAAGGTCCGGTTTAGAGAACAGCATTCAGGTGTGAAGGGATCGAGTGTGGGGAACTGGTTGCCAAGGTTCTGGAAGGGCTCCAGGGCCAAACACAGGATGAGAGCAGACCAACAGCAGCAGGAAAGCCTGGCCACCTCCCAACTCGGGACGTGCGCGGGCTATTACCAGACCCGCAGCAGCAGCGGGGAGGCTATGGAGCAAAGCTGGGACCACAGGGCTCTCTCCTGGGAGTCGGGACTGTGGAGAAAGCAACTGCTGCCAGAAATGCCACCTGACGACAGGGTAGGGGGAGGAAATGACCCTGAAGCATTCCCTATGCCTGCTGTCCAGTGACCTAGTGGTGTCTTCCAGGAGGGGAGGGGGTAGGAAAATGCAGTTTGCCACGTCAGCTCCTCGTGACCCAGAGCTGAGTAGTGTAGCAGAAGGGAACGGATCTGAGGACAGGCAGGATGCGTGTGTGATGTTTTCCCTGCTACAGTCTTAGATCTGAGCTTGCTACTTAGCACCCACGGAAGCTGATTATTAAAAGTCATGTGTAAAGATATCTGACTAACTCATAAGAATAAAACGGGGTGATGTTCTGGGGCCTAGTTCCACAATCACTAATGATCCCGCAGTCGTATTGCATGGAACAGGCTGTGCACTCACTCAGGTATACAGAAATACGGATTTATTCTAATTCTTGTCACTAATCCTTAAAATCGCATGTCTTATTTGTCTTATCCTGTGACTTTAGATATGTACTCAAGAAACACTGTCTCACTATCACTGCATAGATGCCATAAAGCATACATGATACAAAAACATGGTGACTGTCCTAGTCAATCCCATCAGATCTTTCAGCTCAACATGCTGAGTCTAAATTGTAAGAGGATAATCTGGTAAATTTCTGGATTTAGGTTGTCTTAAAGCAGTTCCATGCTAATCAGACACCATTATCTAAAATCTAAGTGCATAAATGTAAGTATATTTTTATTTATTTGCCCATAAATTCCTGTATGTGTGTGTCTATGTGTGTAATATATATATATATAATGAAAGCATGAGAGAACTGGATTAGATCAGTGGCTTTCAAATAGTTTGCTCCTGTATCCATGAAGCCATTTTTAGAACTATGTGTACTTTGTAATCATTGAGTAAAAGTAGCAGAGGATTCAGATAAACCTCGAAATTCATGGTTTAACACAACAGAATTGTTTTCTTTGCTCACACAAACATCTAATGCTGATCTTTGGTGAGTGCCTTTCCGTGAGGTAGTCCAGGATCCTCCTGCCTGTAGCTCCACGGTCCAGGGCTTTGGGGTCATTGACTCTGAGCCAGCGATTGTGGAAAGAACGTAAAGGGCATAGGTGATACCTAAACAGTTCAGCCTGAAAGTAACATACATCATTTTTACTCATCGCCCATTGGTGAGGACTAGTCCCATGACCCAGCTAGATGCAAGGGATTCTGGGAAGTGTAAGCCCTGCAGACACATGCCTCCCCAAAACAACTCTACACAACAGGAAGGGAGCATGAAGTTTTGATGAACAAAGACATTTTTTGTGTCTTTGCCACACCTCATATCTCTATAAACCCCTGTTCTCACACTGCAACACTCATTCCCACTCAAGCGAAACACCCTGAAACCCCATGCAGCTCAAACCCAGATCCCCAGCAGCAGCACCCTGTTTCCATCGGAGTGCTGTCGCTTCTCATGATCTTGTGACCATGAACTCAAAGCACAATTTAACCTGTGCATGTGCACATATGCATGCACGCACACACACACACTCTCTCTCTCTCTCTCTCTCTCTCTCTATCATGATGACCAGCGATAGAAAAATGTACAATAAAAATCTCTCATTTGGAAAAGGAAGAACAGGATCACCGATCAGTAGCAGCGCTCAGATTCCACAAGTCGGCATAGTGAGGTCTCGGCCTGAGGTGAGAACGTCTGCGTCCAGTCTGACTAGACCGAGGCTCTGAGCGATGGGGGAGATTCAAGATGGGAGGAATCTGAATCCTGAATCACCCTCCTAGAATGTTGTCCACTGTACAACTGTGCTGAATTCTTGTGTCTGAAAGAATGAATTTCTGTCTTATTAAGCTCCTGTGATTTGGGGATTCATCTCCTACAGCGTTGATCACCTTAACCAGCACAGTGGAACGCTGCCAAAACGCTGCCGCCACACCTAGAACAGGTCCTAGAAGTGGTGAGGCTAGAAAATGGAGAACCGCATGAAGCAAAGATAAAACATTTGATAAGGACACTGTCTTCCATGCCCACCGAGACTGACTTCCAGGCGGAGAGTTCGGAAGGCAGGTGAGCAGTGGACTCTCGCATTTTCTGATGATCCTTAGCAAGGTACGGAGCCAAGGGGCAAGCTCGGCTTAGCATTGGCTAGTTAGCAATAAAAATGGAAAGAAAAGGAGAAGGAGAAACCAGAAATTCAGAGCCTTTGGGACTGGAAAACTCAACTACTGGCTTTAATCTCCAAATACGAAAAGGTAAGACTCAGAAATGTTTTCTGCATTCAAGATCATTAAAGTATAGTTCTGACCACAATTCCAAGTGCAGAGGTCCAGCCGGTCCTGCTTGTCTTCATGTAACTCCATTATGCTAAAAGACGAGAAGGATGACGGGATAAGGTGCAAAGAAATGGAGCAGGCTTGAGAATTACGACTACTAATTATGACAAACATATTAAGGGTTTTTTTCCAGCAAATGTAATGGGAGGCCAGCAAATAGATCAGAAGTCCACTAATTGCTTAAAGAATCACTCAGCTGAAGAAATCACAAATCAGACTGAAAAAGCCTTTACCTGTTTAAGACTTAAAATACACCTGGGTGTTTGGAAACTTGCACTGACAGAACAGAGTGTGTGAAAATGACACAGAAGATTTGGTAGCAAAACATAGGAGGAGGATAAACAGAGAACAAAATTCCTTGCCCTCCTGACTTCACTGATGAAATCTCCCAAATATTTAAGGAAGATGTGATTCCAGCTCTTCTCTGGCTCTCCCAGAGCACAGAACAAAGGCCAAGCCCCAGCGGGTAACCTTGGTTTCAAACCTGCCCAAGGATATTAGTAAACAAGAAAAGCTTAAACCAATCACACGTGTGCCATAATGGACATAAATAAATGAACCCTAAATAAGGTAACAAAAAGTTCCCCCACATCAAAAAATAACAGATCTACAACTTGGGTGAAATATAGTCATTGAATTTGGCCTAACATTCAAATTGAATTCGTAAAAATGATCATATTAACAAAAGGGCAGGAAAAATCCTGATCATCTTACTATTTGCAGAAAAAACATTTGATAAAATTTAACATGTATTCTTAACAGTGACAACCAGAAAGTATAACAAATAGTAATAAAAGAGTGATTTTTTTTTAGTCTCATAAAAATAGCATCCATTCAAAAAGTATAGCACATTAATGGTGAAATGTTTTAAAAAATCTTTCTTTTTGCAGTTGGGAATAGATCCAGGTTGTCCAAGATACCTGCTCGTGCTTGCAACTGTAGTGGACGGCCAATCCAGGGCAATCAGGCGACGAGAGGAAGTGACAGCAGTGTAAAACCGGGAAGGAAAAGATCAAGCTGGCATTACTTGCCGTGAATGTGACTTTCAATGTACAGAAGTCCAAGAAACTTAAATCGTTAGAATTAATGATGACTGTAGAAAGTGTCCTAGACTACAAAAATAAAAAATTTTTTAAATGGCTGCAATTTTTGCAGCCCTTCTCAGCACGATGTGGAGTCTAATTCTCCCCCCTTGAATAGGGGCCTTGTGATCTTTGTCAAAACAGGAGTCTCAATATTGGGTGATTTCCGAAGAGGCTTTTGCATGCCTCTGCTTTTGTGTATGGAATCCTGCCACTTTGTGAACAGGCTGGAGCCAGCCACGCAGGGAAGAGCCCAACCACCGGCTCGAGCGGCTCCCAGACCCCTGCAGCCAGCAGCAGGCGCGGGAGGGGGCCCCGTCCCAGATGAGCGGGGCCCAGACCAAACTGTCACCCACAGAACTGTGAGATACATAAGCTGTTCTTTTAATCCACTAATGTATGGGTTCTTTCTCATGTGGCACATGCTAAATTAAATTAAAATTAAAACTCTGATTGATGGCCTAGGAAAGCCCCCCAGGCAATCAGAGTTTGAGGGTCCGAGATGCTGAGAGAAGAGAAACTGACTGCAACGAGCATTGTGTTTTCACTGCTTTTCCTCTGAGATGCTGGCCCATATGTAAATGCACAGGGATGCTGAGAGGAGAGCAGACGTGGCTGTTACATAGCAGAGAAGCAGACAAGGACACTGACGTTGTCACATGGTTTGGTGGCGGGGTGGGGATGGAGTTTAGGGCTACCAAGCAGCCAGAATTTGAGAGGAAATATTGTAGATAGAGAAGGAAAGTAGAGAAAAGAAAGCCCAAAGATCTGAGTCAATTTCACCACAGATATTCAACAATCCATACAGGCAGCTTGGCATAGAGGCCGACAAGCTAAGCATCAAATGGCTCTAAGTCACTGAGAAGCTAAGTATAGCTCTCATCAGTCACACATGTGGAGGAGAAAAAATAAGAGTCAGTTCCTATATCTTCAAGTGGTACTAAAAAAATAGAGTCTCATGGGGAGCATCAAAAGGCTATTCTCTACATGTAAGCACAGACCAGAGACAGAATCAAGGCCTAGAGGAGACTGAACCCCAGACTCAAATCAGCTTGGTCCCGTATTGGCTTTAGCTGATATATACTCATTTTCCACCTGCCTGCCGTAAGTCAATAACTATGTTCTCTGGAAAAAAGAATTATCAGCAGAACTTCTATAATTTTTCATACACAATTTCCAGCATTTAACTAAAAAGTAACAGAGAAATGGTAATAAAATAATAATAACAAAAAAGACAGCCCCTAAGGGGCTAGATATTGGAACTACAAGAAATAAATTTTAAATTAACTGTGATTAATAGATCCAAAAATTAGATGACAAGATTGGAGAGTTTGCCAAAGAACTAGAACAATAAAAGAAGATTCTCAGAGCTGAAAATACATCACTGAAATTAAGAAAATAATAGATGAACTAAGAGATTCGCCACAGCTGAAGAGAGCATTTGTGGATCTGACCCTGTGAATCAGATCTAGACTGGAACAGAAAAAGAAATGGGGATGGAAAACACAGAGAATGGCAGAAGGAAAGTGCAGACCCTGTGTGCTTAACACAGGTTTGACTAGAGTCCAGGAAAAGAGAAATCAAGGCAGAAACAATTTCCAGAATTTTCTAAAAATTGCTGATTCAAGAAACAATAGAAATGCCAAGACAAAGAAAAGCACACCTGGGCTTTCCAGAACTTATGAAACTGATTTCCAGAATTTTCTGAAAACTGCTGATTCAAGAAACAATACAAATGACAAGACAAAGAAAAGCATGCCTGGGCAAATGATAGTAAAAACCACTCAAAACCAATGACCAGAAGAAATCTTGAAGCCAACCAGAGGGCACAAAAAGACACATTATCTTCAAAGCAGCAGAAATTAAATTGGCAACTGCCTTCTTAACACAAATGACATGTCAGAAAACAATGAAATGATACATCAAACCTCTAAAGCAAACAGAAAGCCTACAGCTCACTAGGCAGTAAAAAAAGCTTTCAAAATTCAAGGTGCCGTAATGATACCCCCACAAAAGAGAGAAAAATGAAAGAATTCACAACATATCCACCTTCAAAGAAGTGTAAGCAAGCAGTTTTTCAGGCATCAAAAAGGATCCCCGGATGGAGCAAGAGAAAAGCTGGGAGGTGTGAACGTCCAGGAGAAGGTGTGAGGAAATAAAAAATATATATTTTTCTTATTAAGCAATGGAAATAATGACTGTCAGGACTTAAATTTTACAAAAGCACTAAAGTCAAGCGAGATTCCATAGTTTTTGTTCTAAAGTATATTGTCTAAGATTCAGTAAAAAACCATTAATTAATATTAGATATGAATAAATCAAGCATGCTTAGTATGATATGTAAGATAAGTAATGTATAACTAATATACTAATTGAGAAGAAATTCTAATAATAATTAGCTCATGAATCCAAAGTAAAGAAAGACAAAAAATCAGTACATGTAGGGGGAGGCCCAACAGAAAAGAGGTGCGTGAGTGATCGGGTTTTATGTGACATCACCCGGTACGTCTCTTTACAATCCCAGGGGTTTCCCCTTGCAGTTAGGTACAACCCTCCTTCTCTGACCCCACCTGCTTTCGCTGCCCTCCTTTCTGACTTGATGCGGGGCTCCCTGGCTTCTCTAACCCCTGTGTGTGCCCAACCTCCTCTCCCCTGGGGGCCCTTGCACTCGCTCTTCTGTCCCCCTGCTCTCTTTCCATGTATTTCCAAGTCAGCTGGGCTCTGATACGGCCTCAGCATGGCTTCCTGTGACCTCCTCTAAGCTGACCATTTAGCCACCTACCCTAGGCTGTCACATCACCCTTACTTTTGTTTTTACCTCCACAGCCTTGATTTCCTGTGCATTGACCTCAATGGCTAAGGCAGTGTTGTTTTACTTCATTAAAATTTTTATTCTACCATTCATACAACCTCTGTTGCAACAAGGGCTGTATCTGTTTCTGTTCTCCACCAAATCCCAGCGTATAAAACAGCGCATGGCACACGGTGTGCATCAAGTAAATGCAATGATCTGTGCTGAATGACTAACGCATCCTAGACCACCGTAGAAAATGTCAGTTCCTCAAACACCAGAAGTTAATGTTTCCACTCTTCTTTGTATGAATCAGATAACTTCTAGGATATTGTATTTGAGTTTAAGTACAACATTTTAGTAAGTCTTCGGATATCTGGAGTTTGGATTTTATCTTAAGTGCAATGGGAGAAATAGACAAAACTTCAAATACTTGGAGCTGTTATAAGGAAGGTAGAATAGAACAGAACCGTGAATAAGTGGAGGTGCAAGGGGTGAGGGGAAGGTGCGGCCAGAACTGGGATACCCCAAATGAAATACATGTGCCCTGGGAGCAGAAAATTCCTTGATCACTGAGGTGGCTGAGGCTGATGCCAGCCAGCCCCTATCAGGGGTCCCGGACAGACGGTGTCTGTTTAGGGCAGCTGGACAAAAGAGCTTGAAATCTCTTTTAACTTTGTTTCCATTCTACAGAACTATACAATGGTCTTGGCAGTTAAGTTTGTATAAACAAAGTGAATACCACTCATAGTAAGACTTTCCTTAATCATAAAGGGCCATTATGGTATTTGTGCACTATTTTGCTTTCTTTCTAGCTTTTTTTTTTTGATGTCCAAAATTCCTGCTATTTATTTAGTATCTGAAGTATCTTGGTAGGAGGCTTTCCAGAACCGTGTGTCCCTGCGTTTGCGGCCGCTACCCCGTTGCACGGCCCCCTAGCTGCCTGTGTGCAGGCCCTGGCAGGGACCTTCTGACATGAGTCGCAGTGATCACCTAATTTTGGACAAACCCAATGCTTATTTTATTTGGATGTTGTGGTAAAAAAAAACCCTTACAAATGTTAGTGGATGAATGGCCTACTTCCTTCTTCCCGTCCGCGGGGTGGGGGTCGGGAGGTCTACTTGGCAAGGAGGATGTTTTGAGTATCAGTTTTCCTAAGAAAATTTTATCATCCTTATCTGATGGCCGCTAAAGTGCTATGATAAAATTTATCTTCCCTTGTTGTTTCTCCTTCCTCTGTCTTATCAGTGAGGGGATGTTGTAACTTTATGGGAATAACACAAGCCGGCACTTGGGTTTTATAGGGGGATGAACATTGCATTTTATGAAATTGAATCGTAAAATTGGACCTTTCTCACCCAGGATCTCTTTTTTTTTCCCATCCCTTTGACTCTGCTCTGCTTCCACTGTCCACAGTCAGGTTCTCATAACATCTTACATGTGCTAACGTATTTTCATTTTTCTCATAACTACTCTCAAGCCTCCGAAGTCTGTCCTAGACAATGAACCCTAAATTCTGTGTTGGTGTAACTAATACAGGCCTGTAAGAAGCTTACGCCCTGTCTCAAAGCTCTCTACCTCCTGTTTCCAGAGGCGTCACGTCCAAACTTCTGGCCAAACATTCTAGGCCTTTTACAATCAGACCAGATTCATCAGTCCTGCATTAGCTGGACTAAGCCTTATCCAATTACAGGCTTCCCCAAGTCACACCCCTGGTTTTTTGCTCCCCTTTCATCCTCCTCTGCACATATTTCCACATTGAAGGCTGAGGACAATGCGCATGGGGGATGGTTAGGATAGAATTCCTGCCAGTGGAAGAAAATTAAAATCAGGGGTTCGGGGGTGATGAAAGTTTTAGGGTGAAGATACGAGGAAGAGACTTGGATACATTTCAAAGAAATATGTTTTTCATATTTAGCCTAGTATAAAAGCATAAGAAATCAATTTCTGAATTTAATTGCCCGCATACAGATGTTCGTAATCGTCATTGATCCCTATTCATTTGAGCAGTGAATAAGCTCTTCATATTGCAATCCCAGCACCTAAGACAGAAAAGCAGCTTTCTGCCTCTCGCATTCCCAGGACCTCACTGGCCATCTTACCTGTTTCTCACTTGCCAGCTGATTTGAACTGCGTGGGTGGGAGGTAAGCAGTCATAATCCAAAACTGTCCTATTCATCCCAGGACTTTGTCTGGGACCACTCTTTTCTCCTGTGTCCTAAAAATCACACATCAGCCCCCCAGAGCTGTCAGTTGCCGTTTCTCAATATCACTTCAGACATGGTGCAGCAAAGCAGTGATCGATCTCTGCTTCCCATTATCTTTGTTCATCTTACGACAAGTTGTGCTGAGTGACGAATGAGGGATGCTGACTCCAAACAGTCCTGTTTGTCATTGCTGTAAAATATTCAAAACATTAAAAAAAAAAGCAGAATAACACTATTTGATGAGCTCTTCACACACACACACACACAGACACACACACACACGTGCAGAAAGGCAGAAAGATTAGGAACGGCAAACCCCAGTAAAGCTGTCTCTTGTAAAATGCTGTTCGTTGCAGAGGTTTCTAAGGCAAATAAATGCTAGTGTCTTTTTTTCATGTACCTTCTCTTGGCAACTGGAGGGTTTTGTAACAGAGAGCAGAGGCTAATTCACCCCCATAGTCTTTCTCAACCACAAGCTTCCCTGAGTCACCCCTACTCGGCTTCTCCCCCTTAACAAGGAAACAAAATGTAAATAAAAGAGAAAACTACTTGTAACTCCAGGGGGGGAATCTTTCTCCCCGCCCAGGGCAAATTACCTTTGAAACTGAAATCAGTCAAAGGGAGAAATAAAGTGGGAGAAACCCATTTATTGCCTACAATCAGTCATCCACTTCCACTCACCCGTGTCTCTCACCACCCAACCTCTCTGGTCCAGTGATACCCTCGCCCCCCCGCGACCCTTGTAATCACTTATTGATATGGAGATGCACAGGCCAGGTGAGAGATTCTGGAAATCATGCAATTTTACCCACACTGGCCATTTTGTAAAGTACCCCTTTTTAAAAATATACTCATCTTAAAGATAGTCAACTCTGCTGTATTTCATCTTATCTTAATGGTGTCTTAACCTGCATGTGAAAAGCTAAAGTAATGAAATACATTTCTATCCTTCCCCGTCCCACTATCTAAAGAGACAAACCTGCTTTACTTCAGTTCGGTGCTCTGTGACTGTCTAAAACAGTTTCTCTTCTGAAACAGTAGAGAAGTGTTTAAGGAAAGTTAAATAACTTTCTTAGAGCTCTTAAGTAGGGTATTTACTGAGTGAATTTTTTAAATCTAATTACATTGTAAATTTAAATTACATTTAATATTACAAATTCCAAGAATATTAACACATCTACCTTCAAGTTCACTTACATTTATTGACTAACCCCCTAGCTTCAAGCACAACACTTGGACACCCAGGAGCCAAAGATGAGTAAGTCATACACTGGCCTTCAAGGAGCTCACATTTGTGTTTGGGAAACAAATACACAGAGGAAAAAATCATAATCCCATGTTATGAAGACGGTAATAGATTTATGTAGAAGGTTGATGGGAAAATTATAATGGAAACTGTTTGAGGGGTTCAGAAGGTAGAAAGCTTCATAAACAGGGAGGCACTTGAGCCCAGCCTTGACATATTTTTGAGTTTGGGAGGAAGATGTTCCAGGGAGAAATTCAATAATTAGGTCAACAAACTATAATCAGTTCCTAATGAGTTTCGTGGAAAACTTGGGGTTGAAAGCTGATGGGAAGCACCCAGCGTGTCACCCAGGAAGTCTGCGCTTCATGTTTGTAACAGGGAAACCTCCATGGACGTTCATAAGGAATTTGAACAGGTTTGTGCTTGGGAAGACAATCGAGGGGTGTGCTCCGACGGGATCCATAAGGGCTGGCCCAAAAGTCGGATAATGACTTGGGGAAGTATTGCAAAATCCCATAAGACAGATGAGAGAGGCCTTAATAAATGCAGAACAATGGAGAGAAAGGTAAACACACGCAGAAGCACACTTGGGGCTCACAAGCACCAGCGTCACGTGGGAAATGAGCAGTGGAAGGGCAAAGAGCCTAGGACAGCCCACAGGTTTTCGAGATGCATGTACCCAGTTTTAAGGAGACATCATTAGCATCACTGGTGACATTTATGGAGGGCTTCCTCTGGGCCAGATACTGTGCCAAGTCTCCTGCTTCAAATCTTGTAACAATCTTGGAAGGCAGATACTAGTATTGCTCCGATACTAGAAAATAAATGAAGCTTAAATTACCTTGGGGAAATCATTGAACCGTAACTGTAAGATCGGTGGCTGACCTTGAACTAGGATCATTCTTTGCAACACATTTTTGTGTTTATTATTAATTTTTTCCATACCCACATGAGACAGGGGTCAAGTATTATATCCCCTTTATTTGAATAAGTGGGGAAAAACTTAGTGATCTAGAAAAAAGAATGATGGCAACTCAGGAATGAAGCTCTGGGTCTCATTACTCCCCTGCTGGACAGCTTTTCTGGCTCTCACAGACTTACTGCTATTAGAGAAGTCACTGCCTCCGGTTTCTATTTCACAAATTGCGTTTCTGCAGAAGAGATTCTGGGACAAAATGTACACGAATTCAGGTTTTCAGCTTCAAGCGAAAGAAACTGAAAGCACACAGGCACCTCCCCGGAGTTTAAGGGCAGGAACACAGCTAAAGGCGCGAGCCCTGGGGGTGGGGGGGGCGGGACCAAGATCTCTACAAACATCAGCACGGCCCCCTTCCTCCCATCTATGGACTCTTCTCTCTCTTCTCTCTCTTTGTGGACTGGCTTTGGTCAATGTAAGATTTCATTTTCTCTGAAGGCAAACATTTTATTTATTTATTTTTTGCATAGAAAAGACAAATCATAGCTACTGGGGTTTTCTTACATTAATATTGACCTTATTGAAGTAAAGAATTCTAAAATGTAGTTTCTCTTAAGCCCTAAAAAACCTCCTTATAGTAATATCTGGATTAGTGTTTGACCAAATAACCTAGCCAAGTTGACATATAAAATCAACTATCATAGCATCAATAGATAACTAACATTTATATATATATATGTATGTATATATCACCAAGTGTGAACACACCATTGGCATCCTAATGCTAAATCATTAATTTGATGTACTTAACCATCAATAAGGTTTGAGATATTCTTTGGTGAATATTTCTATCTGATTTGAATAAATGGAATTCTACACCTGAAATTTTAGCTAACTTTCTCCCCATTTAATTGGATTGTGTATTTATTTTTTATGTTCTTTTTTATATTTAAATAATAATTATTGGAGCTCGCATATGTTTCATAACTTGATTTGACTCAAATATCATACTCATAAGGGCACCCTAGCTTCGCCTCTCCACAGACCAGAAAACAGAGCCACTGAGTGCTCCCGCGCTTCCATCTTTGTACCTACATTCCTGGCATACTAAAAGATGCGGACTTCTATTTTTTTAGTTTCCATTCCTAAAACTCTTCTTTGGTTCCCAGTCGATTCAGTTCAGGTGTGGCATCTGTCTCTGGACAGGACAGTGACCGGAGAGAGGCGCATAGTGCCCACGAGAATGAGGGGTGCTAGGCGGACAACCCCATAGATGTCCAATACATGGGTATTAAGACTCAGGGGATTCGATTTATACTGCTTTAACTTAAGTTGAACAGTAAATATCTGAATACGCAGCATTAAAAATGGAAAATTTCATGGTGGGACTCGTCCCTCCTCCCACGTTGCCGGTCCTTCACCTCAAGGGCCACCCCACCCACCCACATCTCCTCCACAGCAATGGCCTCTGGGGGCAGCAGGTAGAGCGCCACCTCTATTGTCCTTTCCCTCGATTAGAAATTTTGCCACAGGTAAGTGAAAAAAGAAGCCAGGGCCAGAAAGGCAGGAGCCAACCATTTCGCATCCCAAGCTTGACACAGTGGTTTGAGCTGCATATGAGTAGCATCGTTGTATATGTAAGCTGCATTAAGTAACCTGGGACAAGGTCTAAAATCAAACAAGGAATGATCCTATAGATAAGAATTCTAGCACCAGAGGAAGGTCAGGAGATACTTCGGGATATAGAGGCTCTGGTAGCGATGAAGTTGGGGCTTGGCACACGGTGCTATTGGCCCGTATGTCAACACCAAGCAAGCTAAAAAAAAAAAGCTCTTTGCCGCTTTCTGCCACCTGGGATATCTTTAAGCATTTGAACACGATGATTTGAAAGTGAAGAAATCAGAGGCATTTTCTTCTCCCCTTTCCCTTCATTTATTTAAAAGAAAACCACTGTAATGGAAGAGCTGTATAAGGGCCTGACATTGACATTTCTAACTACTGTCTGTTAGAAGACATAAGGGAGGTGAGGATACAGGAAATTGATTCCTAGATAACTCTTCAAGCGCCGAATCATTCTTTTTTTTCCTCACAATTCTATTTGTTTGATTGGATATTCTTGCAAACCCTGTCTTTGGTTTCAGGATGGGCACTGCAGCCTCACAGCAGAGCAGGTGGGGTTCGTGACTTCGGGTGGGTGTGTTTTTGGTTCTGTGCCTCTGAAAATAAGTGAGTGCGGCCTCTCGGAGCTGGGTCACGTGGCTAGGGGCTGGAAGTGCCACTGGATTAGACAGGACTTAGAGCCTCTCACACGGCGAAGTGGGCACATCCAGTTCTGAGTGATGTGGGAAGGCAGATGCTGAAGAGTAGGAAAGAACTTCCTTTTCCAAACTAGATATGAATCACATACAGTCTTTCTGTTTGGCAAACAATGAACTCCATACTTCTGTTCCCCTGTACATTTTTCAAAGGTTGAAAGAATTAGACTCACATAGAAGAATTTGGCAAATAATATTGGCTGACATTCTTAGAATCTATTCCCCTTTCCTAAGTGCACTCGGATTTTCCTTTGGGAACACCCCCCTGCCCCACTGTGCTACGGGTGTGAACTTCAGATGGGCTGACTGCACGCAGCCCCAACCCACATTATTCTACCCCCACTTAAAATGAAGATTGGTCCAGCAGGGGTTTTCATCCACACCCAGGCAAACCAGCATTTGGTTCCTTCCTGGCTGCAGTGATTGGCCCGATCAGAGTAAATCTCAAGACTTTTTTTTAATGCTGATAGAAAGTGACAGTCTCCCACCCCGTGGATATGAACCAAGCGATGTGTGGCCCTGGTCACTGCTGGCAGCCATACTGTGGATATGATGGAACCCAGCCTACGGAAGAAGCCGGAATACAGAGGAGGACACCGCCCAGAGCCACAGAAAAACGACAGAATGCCTCCCTCAGAACACGCCTGGACTTCTCAGAGACATGAGCCGGTAAATCCAGTTTATCATTCATCCTGATCTGAGCTGGAGGTCTGTCGTTTGCAGCCAAAACCATCTCAGGCCGTGCATAAAGCATCTGCGAAAGTGGACTTCTCCTGGGAATGAATGCTAGACCCTAGCAAAGGTGACATTAATCACTACTATTTATTTCATTCACTGTAGCATTTCATGGATTTAAGAATATCAGATGGAGAAAGAGGGGAGTTAATCAGGACCAAGCACTCTTTTGAAGATGTATGGATATAATAGTTGATTCATGTGTTTTTTATAAATGTTTGACATCAACTTGGAAAGTCCTGTTAGAAAAATATGCCCCAAAAGGAGAATGACCCATTTAGGGGTTGCTTGGTCTAAAATGTTCTCTCTGTGAACCAGCGGCTCGATTATATAACATACCCAACACAAGTCATTCTCCCCAGATAAGGCTTTGAAAGATCTTAATGTTCAAAATCATTATCTTAGATGGGCAAGATGGGAGCAATTCTTTATTATTCTGTAACTCAGCAGGCATTAGTTTATCAGATCAGCTCCAACAATGCTAAGATCCCTCAGGAAATGGAATACAAATTCTATTCCACAGAGGAAAAGCACAGAAGCAATGGCTTCTGAACCATGACAAGTAGTAAAGTGACAAAAATTATTCAAAACCTGACCTCACTTACTTTGATTTCCTCCTGAGCCAGTCTATGTAGAGAATATTGATAAACTGCATCCTTATGTTTGGGCTATTTACTTATATGAGTAGGAAACCTGACATCAACAAACGGCAAAGAACAAGTCCTAGCACTTAAAGGGCCTTAAGCCAGAAACCTGTTATAAACAGCTGAATAGATGCCACCACATTTTAAACCTTACGATTTGCCTTCCTACTCCCCACCCGCCTGCATGCCCCTCCCTTCACCCAATCCTACCAGGCAGCGATGCTCTGGGGAATCTGTCTTTACAAGACACTTGCATGATTTCTGTACTGCGCTTTCCATCCAGACTGGGAAAGAACCAGCTTTGTGAAAAACGTTTACTTGTCTCCCTTGAAAAAAAACAATGATTAACTATGCGAACAGCATCCACACAGGACTGAATTTGGTTCAGCTCTTACTTATTTTGCTTTCCTTACATTCTGTCATCTACTACATCTTTCACTGCCTTTTTTCTAAAATATCAAAAAAAAGATTATTTGATTCGAGGGAGGTGTCCAAATATTTATGGAGTAGTTAGAAAGTCTTTGTAAAATCACTTTGGGAAAAGCATTTTTTCTTTCTATAGATAAAAGACTTTAAAAATATGTTTTCTTTGTCACCGAGAGAGAAAGGTATTAAGGTATAAAACTACCACTTGACCACTTGGTATTCAATTAATATTTCACAAAGAAAATTACACATTAAGAAAACTCTTTGGTGTACAAATTCACGATATTGAAGAAAACTAATACTGTGTGTATATATTTTTTGAAGTGAGAATTCCTGCCCTACATGCCGGTTTATGGTCTGCTCTTGCGAGAAGACCATTCAAGCCTCCTTTGAACCATGGTTCCAATTTACCAGTAGATTAATGTCAAATCCTCCTATTTCTGAGATTCTGATATTTTACTTTCATTTTGCTTAATCAGGAAATATTTTAAAATGCCTTGTTTATGTTTTCCGGTTTCACATCAGCTCATTTGCCAGCAACCTGTCCTCCACCATAGGGGTTCTGCAGAAGTAGACTGAGACCTGTAGAATACCGAAGTTTATCAAGCCATGAGATCTCCAAAATCTTAATTTTCCTCAGTTCCTCCCCAGGCCACACCCCGACTCCCACTCTAGAAATGAGTAATGTAATCCAGAAAGGAACCAAGGAGTTACTAAATCAAAGAGAGTGTAGCGTAGAATCCTAGCCTCAGAAGAAAGATCCATTTACATTTGTTTA